TTCCTCATAAGCAAACGGCTGATTGTAGGTGTAATTTGTGAGCCTAACTTGCAAAAAGCGTGTTCCATGGGGAGGCACTGATTCACCGAGTCTGACGTAATGTCATAAACTTGTTACCAAGTGGAGTGGGGGAGGCACGACAGAGAATCAATTGCGCATAACTTTGAAAAAATAAAAGCATGTGGACTAATTCAAATTGTAATGTTCACACCTTGATTTAAAGGCCCCACCCACCCACCCTACTCAAAAGCCCACAAGCCTTTTTACGGCATCTAGCAAATATTAAACTCACTACTAGAGTGGTTCGAAAGTCTTGTCACCCACTCACCAAAAAATAACGAGAACAATAGAACAACAAATAATACAGTAATATAAAGCACATGTATTGGATTCAGTTTATTCACTTTCATTGACGCTGTCACACATTGAGAAGGTCTGTATGAACACCATCGTTTTCGTGGTACAAAATGACGCAGTACCATGTCCTGTGCATATATTTTACGAAATTGTGGATTGTTGCAAAGGCTCTCCAAATGGTGTCCAAGTGATAGTATTGTTCATGTGAAACTCTCTCCTTGATAATACCCCACAGTGTTGTTATATTATGTAGGGGTGACAAGACTTTCGGACCACCATGTACATTAATAACGGTCTGCGAGATATGCTTGCACTCTATAGTGAGGCAGTCATCCAGTAGTAGGGGGCCCCGTTTTTAAAATAAAAAATATAAAATAATTTTAAGAAATTGAACAGACCTTAAAAAAAAAAAAAAAATAACTGTTCAATATTGGACAATAAGTATGGTATAAGGCAGAGTTTCTGCAGCACCAAGTGAGGATCGAACTTACTGTTTGTTAGTTAATAATAAGAAGACTAGCAGTGTCAAAAAATAAATAGTAAAGATCACGCACGACTTCCTATAAAAATAAAATCGATGACTCTAAACGTCTTTGTCTTTTGATGATGCAAGTGCCGACATTGGTGCTAATTTTTTTTTTTTATCGAAATGTCATTGAAAAGCTGTATGCGGAAATGTTACAGTAAATAAAAAGAATCAATAATCTCTATAAAAAAAATAAATAAATAAATAAAATTTTAAATAAAAACATACCAATTTATTTTTTTTTAACGAATGAAAAATTTATTTAAAATAAATAAAACTAAAAAGTTTAAAAAAAAATTAAATTTAAATTAAAACTTTATTAAAAATAATTTTTTAGTTTTAATTATGAAAAAATTTTCTTCGGATTTTAAAGACTTTTTTTTTCCGAATTTTCCACGTGGCAAAATTCAGCAGAAGAATTTTTAAGGTTGAAAAAGCTAAAACATTTTCTGCTGACTCAATAAAAACGCAAAGAAAGGCAGAAGATAATCTAAGACAACGATTCTGGGTGCATTATATTAAAACAGATATAAAAATTGAATAAAACTTATCAAATATTAACTATTCATTACAAAAATGCATTTTTTTATTTAATATTCTTGCTTAAAAATAGACTTAAATAAGTGTTTTTAAATTAAACAGGCGACATTTTGACACTGCTTGATTTCGCTGTCACAAATCAAAATATTCATTAAAAATTGAAAAAAAAAAAAAGATATTTGATTAAAATAATTTAAGTTGGTCTCTGATTTTATTTTTTTTACTTATTTCATACGGGTAAACTTTGTTAAAAAAATTAATTTTCCTTTTTGTTTTCATCAATGGCATCATCATTGGAAATATTTTTAATAAACCAAAACAAAAAAATAAAACAGACACTTAATTTAAAATTAATTTGAGTGAAATAATGAAAATAGAATTCATTGGATAAAGCAACTTCTTTTTTTTAAAGAATAAAACAAAAGTACATTTTTTTTTTCTCGATTTTGGTTGCTTTTTTTATTTTTTTCAACAAGGGTGTTGAAACAGCCGAGAGAAATGGAACTAAATTTTTTAGCTGATGCCAGTCAGACAAAACAAAATGTAACACGGGAAAAGACTTACCAACAGACAAAGAAATGACACATATCTGCAATATGAGTCCGACCCAACTTAAAAAATACATAAACCACATATTTTGAAGCTCCTGTCTCGTTGACGTCTGCAAATGAGGAAAAACAAACACTTTCTTGCCTTCTTCGTCAAGGATTTTAGTCAGGAATTACCTGCCCTTGGCCGTTGAGAGTTCTCTGCCCTTCATTTTAATTAACTCCAAGAGGAATTCGTGTCGGGCTAATAACGCAACAAGCATTAGCATCGCAAAGGTAGAAATTATCTTGGAGGAAGATAATGCGACAATATTCTAAGTGATTAAAAAAAAAAAAGCCTCATCGGGGATCGAACATCTGTCCTATCATCCTCGGGAACTACGCATCTTAAACTTACTTTGGTTAATTCGGAGATTAGGACCCGCTCTCAGTTTGCATTTGAAAATTTCCCGAATACAGTGTAACCCGGATATAAGAGAGTTGTCGGGACCGGAGACGAAGTCTCTTATATCCGGGTTTCTCTTATATCCGGGTTTGGTCTATTATACAGTGTAACCAGGATATAAGAGAAACCCGGATATAAGAGAGATTTTCTCTGGTCCCAAATTAGAGCCTGTGTTAATGTATATAAAATAGACCAAACCCGGATATAAGAGAAACCCGGATATAAGAGACTTCGTCTCCGGTCCCGACAACTCTCTTATGTCCGGGTTACACTGTATATACATCAACACAGGCTCTAATTTGGGACCAGAGAAAATGTCTCTTATATCCGTGTTTCTCTTATATCCGGGTTACACTGTACTTAAAGTTAAATTTACATGCTTCATTCAATCAAAAATGATTTGATAAATTTGATAAAATCTACCGTTTTGGAGTTGACATATCTTTTCAGGACGTAGACGTTTAATGTCCGCCACATCTTCCTCTTTAAGAATCTACAATATACATTGTTATAAATGGGGAATGTAGACAGAGAAATGCAATGCTGGATTTTTACAGGCTTAGCAGAATTTTTAGGAAAATTCGTTAACGGAAAATTCGGTAATTTTGATTAGGTAACGTCATAGGTACTTTCATGAGATCGCTAAAAACAGAGCATAGCATGATGAAAAAGACGCCAAAGTTGATGAAAACAAAATTTTAGCGTCTAAAAATGCTTATGTTATTATTGAGAGGAAAGATCAAAGTATTTTTTTAATTATTTTAAAAAAATTTTCCTTCTTTTTAGAACATTGTAAATTTTGATTAAAAAAACCTTGTTTCTCTTTGTATCAACCGAACCAATAAAATAACATAAAATTTTAGCGCGTTTTTTTCCTGTATGTCACACTTAGAATAAAAATTGATTGAAAGGGGAATTGGTGGCTAAGACCCCGTCTCCTATATTTTTAAATACCTGCCCAAAGCCCCACTACAATAATACCAGGCCCATGCTTGCAGAAGGCGGGTGATAAGCATCCTACTTCAATATTAACTAGTTAAAAAAAAGTCTCTAGATTAGTGGTTTTCAACCAGGGTTCTGCGGAACCCCAGCGTTCCGCCAGTAAAGCCCTAGGGGTTCCGCAAGTAAGAAGTTTCACAAGTACTATGATTGACAGTAATTTTTAATTCTACTGTGCAGATATGTGTGTTTAGGTACCTCCACTACTAAATCAATAACAAAACAGCATATGAATAAAAAAGGTCCCAAACTTAATAAAACAAATTTTTTCCATCAAAATGTCTATATTTTTATTAAGAGGAAAGATCAAAGTAATTTTTAATTATTTTTAAAAAATTTTTAATCCCTTCGAAAATTTTCGAAATTTTGTCAGAAAATTTTGTTTTGATTTCTCATTGAATTTTTAATGAAAATAAATGTAATCCATTTATTTTAAACTGAAGTTTTTTTTAAATACATGTATAATAACCGTTGAAGCAAGATTAAAATTGCATATGGACGTCTACAATATTTTTTTGACAGTTTGTCTTTGTATTTTTTTGGTAAATAAATCTGAAGATGAGTATTTTTATTTTATTTTAACAATTGAAAGCTTTTTTTTTTTTTTTTTTGCATAAGACAATTAATTTATTGCAGGGGTTCTTTGAGCCACTGGAATGTTTCCTTTTGGTTTTTTGGTTCCTCTCCAGCAAAAAGGTTGAAAACCACTGCTCTAGATAAACCCCACTACTACAAGGGCCGTAATTTGTGTGTGTGTGTGTGCTAATAAACCACTTCTTCTACATTTAAATATCCGGGTTTGGTCTATTTTATATACATTAACACAGGCTCTAATTTGAGACCAGAGAAAATCTCTCTTATATCCGTGTTTCTCTTATATCCGGGTCTCTTATATCCGGGTTGCACTGGTATTAAACCCCCATCCCCCGGCTACCGATTAAATAGAATTTTCTTGTAAATGGAATTGTCTTGTAAATGGAGTTTTTAAAGCATTCTGAATGTAAAAATAAAGAAAAAAGTGTGCAAGACAATAAGAAACACTAGCTGCCCCCCCAAAAGTGAAGTTTTGTTGAAATCGGTTGAAAAATGTAGGAAATCCGATCCCATATATAAACGAATACACACACACACACACACACACACACACACACACACACAACCTGGGTTTTATAAGTATAACTCGATATGAGTTGTCCCCCTTTCATTTTCGCGATGCCTCTTAATCGTGTTTTCAAATTGATTTCGTGCAATAACAATTGTGTTTTCCAATTTTGGGTGCTGTCAGAACCACCGCAAGGTAATTTTACGTAGTCCTGTGAAGTTTTGTTGAAGTCGGTTGAAAAATGTAGGAAATCCGATCCAATATATAAACGTACACACACACACACACACACACACACACACACACACACACACACACACAACCTGGGTTTTATAATAAGTATGATGTCGGAAATTCGGTCGTCCAGGGTTTTTATATATATATATATATATATATATATATATATATATATATATTAAAAATACGAATTTTCTACCCGGTAACAGATAATATTTACAAACATACCAAGAAGATTCCCCAATACAACACACACCAAACTTTAAACAAAAGTGTCTATTGCGAAATTGACCAATCAGAGAAAACTAAAACCCTATTTTTCTTGAGCCTACTTTCGGGGGCGGGGGGAACCCACAGATTTTGATTTCAAAGAGCAGAGGTGTGGCTGAATGCAAATCGGAGAGAAGACGCGGCAACATAGCTTTTCCCTTCCTCTCATTGAAATAAACATGTAGGAGACTTCAAACGAATCAGCTACAGCAACAACAGCAAAGACAGTCAGTGAATTTTCGCTTAAGATAAAAGTCTTTTCTCTCAACTATAGCTTTTTTTTTGTGGACCAACTACCCAAAGACTGTAACTTAACTAAAGACTTTTTTTTTTTTACTCCTTTTTATTTTAACTCTGTTGAATTCAGATACACGTTTTTAAATACAAATGATTTATTTAACAGGCATAACCGTGTTTTTGGTTTGGTTTGGTTTGTTTTATTTTACGGCATATCAGCCTCAATGGGTTATTTAATGCCGACAAGATTATTATTGCTAGTAATATTTTTTTTTTCCCCAAAATATATTGCTGGTAATATTTTTTACAAAAATGTATTGCTGGTAATATTTTTTTACAAAAATGTATTGCTGGTAATATTTTTTTACAAAAATATTTTGCTGGTAATATTTTGTTTTTTAAAAATGTATTGCTGGTAATATTTTTTTTTACAAAAATGTATTGCTGATAATTTTTTTTGACAAAAATGTATTGCTGATAATATTTTTTTTTAATGTATTGCTGGTAATATTTTTTTTCAAAAATGTATTTCTGGTAGTATTTTTTCCAAAAATTTATTACTGGTATAATATTTTTTTTCCAAAAATATATTGCTGGTAATATTTTGTTTTTCAAAAATGTATTGCTGGTAATATTTTGTTTTTTCAAAAATGTATTGCTGGTAATATTTTTTTTTTACAAAAATGTATTGCTGGTAATGTTTTTTACAAAAATGTATTGCTGGTAATTTTTTTTACAAAAATGTATAGCTGATAATATTTTTTTTAATGTATTGCTGGTAATTTTTTTTTTTTTTCAAAAATGTATTTCTGGTAGTATTTTTTCCCAAAATAAATTGCTGGTATAATATTTTTTTCCCCAAAAATGTACTGCTGGTAATATTTCTTTTTCCGCAGAAGTATTACTGGTAATAATTTTTTCTTCCAAAATTCATTGCTGGTAATATTTTTTTACAAAAATGTATTGCTGGTATTAAAACCAATTTTTACACTTTCATAGTATTTAGACACCAGTTTGGGGGCCCATAGCCTAGACCCTAACAGGTGCTACCACAACGGTTTAGTGTGGACCTAGGAACTCCAGCAAATCAGAGGTGGTTGTACGCTTCTCAAAAACTCCTGACGAGAGGCCTTGTTGTTGGATGTAGTCTGTCGTCTTACACAGGACTGACCATGTTTTCTTTATTTATCATTATTTGTTATTTGGACGTCCGGATTTTTACGTAATTATGTCCATGTAAACATATGTGCACAAAAGCTGAGTATCATCTACCATGTATTCAACTGTGAAAGCAGAATAAAATATTTTTATTACTTCAAAGCTCACAAGAAAATTACATTTCGGCATTAAATGACCCATAAGGAGTTGATGTGCCATTAAAAAAATAAAATTGAATCAAATGAAATCGAGTTAAAAAGAAAAATGTTCCCACACCGGGAATCGAACCCGGGCCGCCTGGGTGAAAGCCAGGAATCCTAACCACTAGACCATATGGGAATCCGGTGAAAACAGACTAATTATTACTTTAAACCATCAGCCTATCCTGGCACGCTTCACATCATCTATTTATTTGTTTTTTTGTTTGTTTTTTTTTTTTTTTTGTTTTTTTTTAAATATATATTCTTGAGCTCATAAAACGGAAACTAAGTTTTGATTTATATTCAATGTTATATAATTATATTATAATATTGGTTTCAGGGTAAAGAAGTATACCAAATCAGAAGAAAAGTTTTGTGCAATGGGTTTTCTTCTTTTCAGACTTCATCGGTCTGAGGAAGTCCTAAAGAATGAAACGT